AACATCAAAAACATTGCACATAGAACAGCGAGAGTCTAGCAATATACATAAAATGTACCAATTTACATGACCACTGCCAAGTCAAGAGAAGTGACTGAAACATGGGCAGGAAAGAGACTCAGTAAAACAAGATAAGGAAATAGTAATAAGCCCTTTGAGAGATGACTTCATTTCAAGATCAACATCACAAACCTTGAACATAACTGTTGATAAAGATGTGATCTACTGAGATCTCCTCTCAAAGCATACTCTGTAAGGTAACGCAAGCTCAGAATCTCAAATGAACAGGTGTGACATTTAGCAAAATTCAGCTACCAAAACAAGTCATTAGCTTAGCGAACACGTATGCAATTTGTTGATTCAATATATCAGTGAATATTTTCAACTAAAGAACATAATTATAGAGACTTATGCCTGACAGGCATATTCTATTACAGATAGACAATTAAGGAATCAAACAACTGACCTGCCCAAGAAGAAGATCGCGCACATATATTCCCATTGTTGTAAGGCGACCATTAGAACCAGGAGAAATTTCCTTCACAACAAAAATAAGCATCTAAATCCAGGTTTCATGTATCGACGATGGTGGTTTTAATGACTTAAGTACCATTATCGAACCATATATCTAGATTCTGGTACAATAAAATTCATTTTTATTTTCTTTTTATTGCATTCAATGAACCGGACAGTAGAGGAGACCACCCAGTTCCCGATACTGAACCAGTACAGGGTGGCTACAAAAACCAGCATTGGAGTAAGATTTAAATCCTTGATATGAATTCTGTATCAAATAAGTTCTCCAGTAGAGATGGTGTACAATTATTAAGGTCTAATATCATTAATCTTGATCATACAAGAAAGATTATCTCCTTACAATAATGCATTCACTAACAAGTACAAATTAGAAATTGTGTCCCAAATGCTAGCATATGGTTGTAACTATTCAAGATAAATTTCAGAACTGAAATTAGCTAAAATATAAATAAGAGCTCTATGGTTGGTCGCATGAACAATGTCCATAAATCATATAGCACCAAGAGTAAAGCCAGAGCTTATGCTCGACAGATACTTATCCTACCATTTATGGCTTAGCTATCTCACCTACATGTTTTGTGATCAAAGACAGCGATGATCCCACAAGTTGGTCCCAAATGGATCCATTATCGCCTCCAATCACAATGTAAAAACATGAGACTAATGCTCGTTAGATTCAAAAAGCATGGCGCTTATTAGATAATAGCCAACATGCAATTGTAATAATGAAAACAATCGAAAATACTAAATTCAAAGGAAATTTGTAATGCATGGAAATAAATTGTATATTGAAAAGCATATAATCGGTTTAGAACATATATTGATATTTTAGTAGGGAACAACCAAAAGAAACATAAAATTTCACAAAATAAGAGGACAATAAGGAGAATATACATGATTTATATGTAATAAATCTGACATACTACAAAGGAAAGTAAATTAAAACAGATATCATATGAATAATCTATACAACTGAAATTCACACAAGATAGAGCAATATATAGCACATAGCATAGTAATAATTAAATATACAACACAAAAGTAGAATAGGAAACGTATAAGACAACAGTACAAGATATTAGAGCAGAAAAAGATATGCCGAAATTATTGAATAATAAAACAAAGATTAAGCACAATTGCAACAATCAAAAGACTATCAGCAATAAGTTCATCAAGAACCTTGCTATCGATCATTTTATCAAGGAGTTATAGTTGTGGGATGCACCAACATATAGTATCTGTTAGGAGAACAGAAAGCATGGTTTTCAAGGCAAGTAGTTGGTGAAGAATTGAAATAAGCAGATAAAGAGACAATACCTCGCCATCCTTAATGTATGGCTCAAACCAAGTCCATAATGTCTTTGGATCTGCAACATAACGCAGATAGAGAAAGCCAATCTGAATAACCAAGAACAGTAGCTACTTCAGCTTTATAAGTAGTAAATTGGAAATAACTTAATTAATTATTATTATTATAGCATCATATACACATGTTAAAATAGCCATCAAGAGATAAATAATAAATGCTTGCATACACAGACAAGTTCACCATCAACATCTGCAACCAACCACATATCATGCCCACAAAAGACCAACCTTTTCAAACCAAGAGAAAAATGGAACATATTCAAAAAAGACAAGTGACAATGAAGTTGACAACTCAAATGAGACCATGTAAGGTTCTTGATGTACAGTCCAAAGCCATACATTAAAGACTTTTTATGTTGTCAACCAATAATAGCATTGTCTGGAAGATAACGAAAAAGCTCCAATGATAAATAGCTAACAGGCCTAGATGATGTAACATATATGACATCTTTCCTGAATGCTCCAACAAAACATTACAGATGAAAAAACAAATTCAGTTCATGATCTCAATTAATGTGCTGAAAAGACAACATGAATTAATCACAGCATGTGATAGCCAGTAAGGCAAAATATATTCTAATTCTCTACATGGAGAATCAACCATGAAATTGTGAAACATGCAGTATTCTTTGCCAAAAGGTCAACAAATTGCATCAAAAAGTCTCGCTAGGAAACATGTGAAGTCAACTGATCAACATCCAAATGGTTTCAAATTTTGGAGGTACAAATGAAATCACAAATATGATAAGATAAAGCAATACAAGGAATAGCACACAACACTTAGTAGAGACACTTACAGCTCTTATATAAGGTGAATCAGGATGCTTCAGAAGCCCATGCATTTGCTTGACAGTGAGTTTCATTGTAAAGAACTTATAAAGTAGACAAAATGCCGTGGAAGGACCTCTGCAATTTCCAGTCATCCATGGTTCGACATGATCGACTTGGTTATAGATCTCATCAATAACTTCGTGGTACGTCTTCAATCTGTAAAGCTCTTTGAAATAATCAGAAGAAAGAATGTTCATGGAAAGAACCTTCTCCAGCAAAGTATCAATAGGTCTGCCAGAAGTTTGTATTTCCATTCCTCTTATAGTCAACTGAAAACTTCCTACTCCACAAAGTAAACGAACAATCCCTTCAGCAATGCAAATGACGATACAACCTGCAAGTAGAAAACAACAGAACTGGATTCACTCAAGAGAAGAAACAGATTAAATTCACTCAACATAATTATTGGACATATGATCACCAACGAAATCAGAAGTTTGTACCATCTTTTCTCAGAGGCTCTACAATAGTGTCTCGTCAAATAAATTCTTAAACCATACTATCTGAGACAACTTACGTAACTCTTGCCTAACTTCCATCAGCCCTAGATTAGCGATTCTTCCCTGATCCCTTCTATATTATTCTGAGCTACACAAGAAACCGAAACTATGCCCTTTACAATTATAAGAACACCCTAAATGAGCGAAAATTTGATTAAGTTTCGCTTACTATAAGGGTGCTTTAGGCGGTGTTTTGAAGAAGATATTCGCAATTCTCGTAGTTGTCCTGATCCTCATTTCCCAGCACGACTAAGAAATCCAACTCAAAGAAAAATTATCAAGAATCAAACTTCAAATAACAATTAGGGCATACTAATTAAAATGGCAAAGGAGGAAAGAAAGATAACGAAGGGGATCAGAGAAAATTGGAGAGAGAAAATAACCTACTAGGAAGATCCGGCGGACTCGTTTCACCGGTCCCGTCCGTTCTCGGATTGACTTCCGATTTAGGGTTTTCTTTTCCTAGACAGAGCGATCGAAAAAAGCGCCGGGATAGGAGAAAAGGAAGCTTACCACTGGCGGGGAATAAGGAAAAGGAGGAGAAGGGAGAAGGATGATAAATGGGGTGCCGGCGCAGGCGGCGATACGGAGGAGTTGGAGCGGATTCGATTCACGGGCGAAGAGGGCGGCGAGCCAAACTGACGGGACAAATAGACCAACCTGCTCCCACGTGTGAAGCACGTGATTTATATTAATTGATAATATCCTATAAACCTTTGTATGATTTGATAGCCGCGATGACAATAATGTTATAGGCATTTAAGACACTTTGAATTATTAGTGATGGTTAAAGTAAATTTTATATACTAATAAAAAAATTATATATATATATATATATTATCAAGAAATATTTCATTCTAACATTTACTATTATTATTTGTTTATTCTCTTTATAATATTTTAAATTCAAATCTTCAAAATGATTACATAAGTGTTAGGAACCTGAGCTTTTGAATAATGTTTATTGAGAATGTTTAATCCAGTTGTTTATCGAGTCGGTTTGATTCAGTTAGAATCAACTAGAAGTTTATTTAATATTTATTTATTATTAGAGTTCAAGTCCTGATGGACTTTGAGTGGAATGGGTGGAACTCTATAAATAGGGATGTAACGACTTCTTTTCAGTAATCTATGAAAAATACTATTCTGTCTTTTGACAAATCCTAGGAGGCCGATCCCCTCGAAGCGATCAAGGAGGGTCGATCCTCTCGAAGCGATCATTATCATCCTCATTTCTCCCCTTTCTTTGATGATAAAATTTTAGGGTCTTATCATTTGGTATCAGAGCCTATGATAAGACTTTAGGATCTTATCATTTGGTATTAAAGCCTACGATAAGACTTTAAGGTCTTATCAATAAGATACCAATTTAAGCATGCTTTTTTTTATCATTTTATTATTCAAAGAGACTTTGGGAGATTTCAATTTATATATATATTTTTTTTTCATAACTTCAAAATGACATTTATTATTATTATTTTTATAATGTTTATCATTTTAAGCATGGCAAAACCTGAGAGTATTTCTATTGTGGTAATCTTAAAGTTAACTATTATGCTTTCCTAAATCACCAGTGTTAGATAAGTCTGCATATATACATCAGAAAAGAAACAAAGGATGTTAACATGTAATTACAACAACCGAAATAAGCTAATATAAAGTTCAAAAAAAGTATTTGTGCCTTGAAGCTAATACATAGAGAACAAGATGCTAGAAAATTTTCATTACATAAACCTTTTGATACCAAAACTTTGATTTGGAAGAAAAACAACAACAACATATGCATTTTCCCTTGTTGAAAATTTCTGCCTGATTCCCATTCTGCTTATGTAATGCATGGAAAAAAAATTTGTGACAAGAATTCAACCAAAACTTGCAACAGGGAACTTCTATCTAGTTTGAACCATATGATTCTGATTGGCACAACAAAACCTGCCATCCAAACTATCAGTTTGATGAATGATATAAATGTCCTATAACTCATCTTTCTTCTCTGATCTTTTTGGTGTCAAAAGAGTTTTTTGGTAATACTGATAAGAAGCCCTTAAATCCACACATCAATATAAGATGTCACTGCGAAAAACCCCATATGCTCTGCAGTGAGGCATCCTATTACTCATCTTCTTTTTCTGATCTTTGTGGAGTCAAGAAGTTCTTTTGTGGTACTGATAAGAAGCCGCTAATTCTACATATCAAATACAAGATGCCTGTCACTGCAAAAGCTCCATAAGCGGCAACGGTCGAGGGATCAGCTTTGGGATGAGGCATCCATGCCGGTACTGGTGCTTGTAGGCTAATGGATGCAATCCCAGTTCCAGTTTGGCTTGCTCTGCGAATCAGACACAAGAAATTCTTGTAAACAAAGAATCATACAAAGAGCAGACATGCTGCCATAAAGCATAAGCTATATTAAGTTGTCACATGAGAACATAGGCCATGATCAGGAGGAACTGATAGGGAGGAAAAGTGGGATACTGTTGTTGTAGGCTCTCACAGCTTAACCATATATTTAGTAATCTAATTAACCATTCTAATCATAGCAAACATCATTTTTCTTTCTGTAATAGTTATTTTAAATAAAAGCACAATGGTAATGTTCATATAAGACAACTGACAATATATGTGAAATTTTATCAGCTCTTATAAACATGTATTTTATAAAAGCTAAGTATTTTAAAAACTGCAAGATGCCCATGCACTTAACCTTTCATTTATCAAATATGTACTTTATAAAACCTGAGTTCAACTTTGATCTATATCTGCTCAAGACAAGCCACAACTTGCCCCTGTATTTCAAGTTGCAGAAGAATTTATGGGTTATCCATCAGGAAAAGACCACTTAAAACTAGCTATCTGTCAGTGATAACAATACGCTACTTAAAAATCAGCTATGCTGAGGATTCCAGCTAGTGCACTATCACCTAAAACATTAACATGCAAGGAGATTACCATTTGCATGGGTTCAAAGAATTTTTGAAGTTAAAAGATTGGCCAGCTGCCTATGCAATAATAGGTGACCTGTGATATTTCAAGTCCAACCATGCTGGCGAAATTCCAATAAACAACTTCCCGGTCAAGAGAGCAACTCCAAAATTGCTCGACATCCATGTGTCATACTGTATCTTAGAAATACTTGACACATAATTCTGAAATTACATTTCCTAATATGTTAATAAATTGCACAGCACTAAACTGTTAAAAACTAGCGCCACTCAGAAATTATGCTTAATCGGAAGTTTAATGTTCAGAAGGAATTTATAAAAAAGAACCGATTCAGGTTATCATTAAAAGAAAAGGTGCTCATGTCACTTTAGACATTGTAACATACCCAAACAAGTTCTTCATGTAGCTCCAGAATGAATTATTCATCCTTTTTCGTGAAGCCCGAGTTTTTCTCTTTTCAGAATACTTGTACATATTATCCTGATGCATCCCTAGCAAAAGATACCAAAAAAGGAAAAACAAAATCAAAGAGATGAACTGTCACAAATATATGCAATGTCCATTTTTCTATTACAAGAATGCAATACCTTTCGATCCGATAGAACTATCCTTTGTAGCCCTCAAAGATGCTAACTTTTCAACTCGTAATCTCTCTTCGTCACTGTAACAGTTAGAAAGCTAGTAAGTCAAACACAAATTCTGTTAGTAATATGTTGCTTCCATCTGCAAAATCCTGTTTTGTCCAAGAAAAAACATGTCAAGGATAAATACAATTCTGTGGTTCCAGGGAAGTTCACATAAATGAAAAAGAAAATGAAAGTGAATCCTGCTATATTTGATATCCTCGATAGACTAGGAAGCACATGGTAGATGTACCAAAAGTCAAAAGAGATATGAACCTGATATTCTTCGGAATCTCTACCCTTACAACAAAATGATGATCACCTCTAACTGAAGGCCTCCTAAGGTTTGGAACTCCCATGTTAGTGAACTTCAATGTCTCTCCTGGTTGTGTGCCAGAAGGAATTTGAAGATCTTTATATCCTTCCACTGTTTCAACCTGAAATAACAAATTAGCTCTCAACTTTGTGAAAAGCAATTGATAATCAACAGATACATTAAATCAAATATCATCAAGGATAAATCATGCATCAAATGTGAAACAAAAACCTATATTAGATGCATGTATATTTTTTTTCTTTGGACCTTTAAACAAATTTTAAAGAACTTGTACTTGCATTGAATTTTTCCCTTATCTGCCTTCCTTAATGAGATTAAATGTTGCAATCATCCTGAATATGAAATTCTAATTCGTCCTCTTCACTTGTCGATAAACTATTTGTGGTTTACACAATAAAGTGAGGTAATACTCATAACACTATGTCAAACCTTGGCTCCTGAGTCTATTTAACTGACAAATGGTGCAATTTTTAATTTTTTCACCATCATGCATTTAAAGAATTAAGTTCAAAAAATGGAAAGTCAATAGCGTTCCTGATTTTCAATTTTGCATGAAAAAATTTTGTAATATGATTCATCAGCACCAATCAGGTTTGGTACTTTGGTCCCAGTTGTCTTGAAGAAGTTCTGAGTTCCAATCCATGTCAATATTGTTCATAATCACTTGAACAAGGTGATTCTCTTGGTAAGAATAACCTTCTTGGTTATTTTAAAAAATGATTCAGAAACCACTCCAAATGCTTGAAAAAAAATTTTACTTACAAACAAATCAATTCCAACAGTTTCACCTTCATTGTGACCATATGGTATTCCTATCACAGCCAAATTCAGGTCAAGTGGAAACAAGGGTCTAAAGCCTTCAATAGTTTGCAACAAGAGTTCTGTTAAATAACTGTTGAAATCATGCAGGCATGGCTAAACTAAAAAGTAAAAAATAACTGTGGTGAAAATTATTGGTATGATTAAATCACTAAGTGCTGACATTGTACAAGCAAACAAGAAGAATACAACTCATCAGCTTGCTTGCCAAATAGAATTTGCTAGCACATTGTCCAAGATAGCTGATGCAACTCTTGCGATGAACCATGCTGACCAGCACTTACAATGCCAATGCAAACAGCACAACAGTAAGTTGAAAAACTAAAATAAATTCTCAAATATAAAATCAAGTTATAACTTAAAGATTTCAAAATAACACAAGCTTGTTGGATAAGATTTTTTATATAAAAGTTAATAACTTTTCCAGTGTGGTTCACAGCATCCTGCTTATGAGACAAATCAAGTTGCACAAGATGTTATTTATATCACCAAGTTACTATAAATGGTCTCCCCTGAAGTTAAAGAAGATCAAATTCGAGAGTTTCCTGTACAGAAGTCAGCAAGACCTTCTAGAGCTTCTATTTAACAGTTCCTCTTGCAGCTTGATTACATCACTTCAGTAATATGGACAAGATAGCAAAATTGAAAATAGTATATACGAAAAGTCTTAAACATCGGAAATGCACTAAACTATGCATGTTCCTTTGACATTCAATGCAAAGAAAGCATACCGAGGAAAAGAGGAATCATCACATAACTTTTACAGAAGGATAAAAAGAGGCTTGCCTTGACTACAGTTCCCAGTATCGCTTCAGTATAGTCTATGCTGACTTCTGAGAATAAGTTGAGACCATCTCTTCGGAAGCCTGGTTTTTCATTGACATGGAGGAAAAGATAAACATTGCCAACTACACCTCTGCAAAATACTAATTCTCAATTAGCTTGCCATATAAGAGTACTAAAAATGTTGTATACATATCAAACACATGTCATGAATAATTATTAGGGCAGCACAACAATGTATCCATGACATAAAACTTGATGAATACATACAGGCCAAGGAAATCTGTGGTTCAGGTAATGCAATAAAGAACAAGGAATAGCTATGTGGACCTGAGATCATTTCTGTGCCTAACACGCAAAAATAAGCAAAACGTTATGCAAATGAAGACACAATGATCAACATCACTCAGAAATCACATGGAGCCCCAAGTATCCAATAATTTCAGATCTTCTGCAATTCAACTTAAAGCACAGTAATGTCAACTATCCAGTTGATTCCAGAATCCATACTCATGTAAACCTTATGACCAAGGTTGCAAATCTTGACCGGTACTGGTCTGACAGTATTGGTATTAAAATATATAGCTCAACACCATTATAATACTTATGCCTCACATTTTTTTGACTATTTTATTATGGTAGTGAAACTGACAGCAAAATGAGATTTAAATCTTTCATATAACCAATTTACAGAACTACAGTGGTTCACTCATAGGTGGACCAATTATTTCTCTGGTAATCCTCATGTCTAACTAGTATAATTATTTAGGTATATGAAATATATATAAAGCAGATTAATATTATAGATTAAAAACAATAGTCAGGAGAAATTTATTAACTTCAGATTAGCTCAAACTGGTTTTTTTATCTAAGTTTCTAATGCTATCTCCATTCTTAGCTGATAATCTCACTAGAATATACAAGGATAGTAATTAAAATGACCATTCCAAACTAAATTACAGAAGCTCTATGAATCAAGAAACTTATAATTTAACCAAAGATGTTCCTGTTATTAACAAATCTATAAGGATGGATGATGGATCTAACTGAATACTTACCTTTTCTTATCATAGCTTCCCTCTCCATTAATTTGAATGGTATACCCATCATTAACACCAGCTGGTATATCTACTTTTATACTTCTATGGCCTTCTATTTTTCCTTCTCCATTACAGCTTCTACAGAAATCAGTAACAAGCTTGCCATTACCACCACATTTCGAGCAAGTAGAAACCTGAAAGCATGTAACTTTATTATATACATCACATCAAATAGAAGTGTCTTTGGATACCATGAGACTATTAGCATAAACCTTCATAGATCTCGTGGGAAAAAAGGTATCCGACAATAGACTGCATTAAAAAAAATTGATGGAGTTTACAAAAATTTATAGCAATCTTATACCGTTATACGTCTAATGCACCATCAAGAACAGACATTTATCATTACAACATGAATGTTATAGTTTAAACACTATCATGTCACCACTACATGATATACAACTCCATACACTTTAGATTATGAGTAATACCACTACTATAATGGATTAACTAAGTATTAGTTTCTGTCACTAATATATCAGATTATGACACACACCCAAGATATCACTTCAAAAGGAGCACCCCAAGGAGAGCAGGAATAACACATTAAGAAGTTTATGCACTTTTCTATAACAAATAAACTCAGCCCAAAATAGGAACCCTTTGATTCTTTCAAGGGATTTTTAGGCAGTTATACTACTTTGAAAAAGAAAGCATATGTTGGTGCTTGATACATATACATTCTTCTAGAAACATATGATACAGATATAGATTCTTCTAGAAATAAGAACGTAGATCATCATTCCTAATGTGCTTTCTCACGAGGATTGACTTGTCAAGTATACGACCCAGCACATATTGTGCTGACATCAGAATGGAGGCCATACAAAGGTTGTGACCCCTGGTACTTTTGGTGCCACCATACCAGCATGGAATAAGATGTGACCAACACAGACTGGGACAAAATAAACTTAAATATGAGCTGGCAAAACCAACAAGATACAGGAGGGCATCTCCATATTATAATCGGCATAATATATTAAAAATGATCATGCAACACTTAAAACTTATATGAATTATAATGTTTCACAGCACATAAAAAACATAGATAACAAAAAAGAACCTACAAGAAACCTTACTTTAGACAGTAGTCTAGGCTAAAGCCTAGAATGAGCGACTTGAAACCAGGGTGAAAAAAACAGAATCGTTACATTGTCTCCAATTTCAAGCAATAAATGTTAGCTTTGTCGTAATGTTGTCAGTTCACCTGAGATACAATGCCAAATGGTGTTCTCTGGGAATTCATCACGCCACCCCTACCTCCACATTCCATACAAGACTTTATACAACTGCTAGATTTTGCACCAGTGCCGTTGCACTTGTCACAAGTTTCAAACCGGACAACATTTACTTCCCGCTGGCTTCCAAATACTGATTCTTCAAAGCTTAAAGAAAGGTCATACCTGAAGAAACAGCAGACAAATCAAACTGCAGTTATGAAGCCTCCGAATCTATTCCTAGGTTATAAGTTTTATCTGTAGACAAACAAAAACTTGAAAGCATAGAGCTAATGTCAAGCAGATAGACGTCTTTCTTCGTATAAAATCTAGGGATGATTTGAAATTAAAGAAATCATATATGGTCTGAAAGAACTATTTATTATCAAAAGAAATTTTCTTTAGACTGGATCAAAAACAATCAAAACAGATCAGAAGTCAATAAAAGCTAATGAAGTAGGTCAACTACCGAATATCAAGTCCCTGGCTGCGAGTGAATCTTGAATTCATGCCGAATCCCCCAGGGTCCATGTCACCCCCAAAAAGCCCACTTGAGTCACCAAAGAATGCATTAAAGACTTCAAAAGGATCAACCTACAAAATTGTAAATTGACATTTCAGCAGTTGTTTCATAAATCATTAGTAGCATGAAATCATATGTTTAAAGCATAAAAACAACTTGATGCCGCAAAACAAAGAGATAAAACATACACCAAGGACTGAGGAGTAATAGGGCTTAATAGAATCTTAAGATATTCTTACTCCCTGTGGACCAACACCTGCAGCTCCATATTCTCCTTGTAAACCCACTTCACCATATCGATCATATAAAGATCTTTTTTCCTCATCTGATAGCACCTACAATAAGGACTCATTACCATAATGCAGAAATGCAAATAAAAAGCCAATACAATCTCAAAATGAAGAAATAAACAAGTAGAATATTTAGACTTAGACTCACTACAGATAGAATGACTTGTGCATGTGTAATTATTGATGTTTCATGCTTTGAAACATGTTCCATTATGCCATTATGTTTAGCACACACATTTTATCAAAAGTCGTTTTCATATAAAAAATAATATCATTTTACATAAATAAAATTTTAATTGCCACCAGTATTCCATGACTTGCTTTTCTTTCATGGAAGATTATACATTTTTCAAAACAAAACCAAAGAACAAGAAAGCAATGAAACACAAAACAAGTACCTCATATGCAGCACTAATTTCTTTGAACTTTTCTTCTGCTCCGGGACTTTTATTCATGTCAGGATGATACTAAATGCAAACAAAATAATTCATCAACAGATGAGGAACAAAAATAGCAACCTTATAAAATTTCTTGTACATTCTATTAGTAGAACAAAATTTACCACACAATTTATCAATTATTAGATGGATTATAAGATTGCCCCCATATCTCAAAAGGATATAGACACAATCCAATCAAGATTGAAGATTCACATGGAATATGTTTTTCAGTTCAAGTCCAGAATCTTTTTTTAACTTTTGAAGATTTTCATACTTATCTTTTTTTAAAATAATTTACATGGTCCTAATAGAATTTATTTTAGTTAATCAAACCAAGTTTTTGAGTGCTTGGTTAAAGGAGAAATTCATTGAGAAAGATAAAATCATTTTGGTTTATGTATAACTAAAACTATATGTTTTGGGGATGTAATATAGACTTTGAACAGGAAAAAGATTGCTTTGAATAGCCCGTTGACCATTTTTATCATCATCATCTTTATTCTCTTATTTCGTATTCTTCTTGCTGCAATCCTTGTTTTTTAACACCCTTCTAATCCTTTACTTTTTCACTCTAAACTCAATACTTCCAATTTTTTCAATGATAATGATACTAATAATATGTATAAATTTGAAAAGAAATCAGATTAGACAGTTCAATTTTTCGACAACACCTCTTGTTATGCATGAGATGTTGTGAAATGGAAGTGTCTTAAGGTGACATGCTTGAACTTGCACAATTACGGTACCAACCTCTTTAAGGTGGCAAGCATGAACTACCACAGTTACAGTACCTAAAACATGCAGCGTTCTCCACGAAAAGGACTACAACTGATAGCAAGATGAAGACATGGGATGAAGAGGGGATAAAAAAGAGTGTTGTCGTTAGGGCTTATAAATTTAGACACAAAACACTGAAATGTTTCTTTACTTTTTTCTGTTGGTCATAATAGGTGACAGATCATACATGAGTAAATTTGTAGATATCAGTAAACTGGGGAAGTTTCCATTTTGTGTAATTTTGTGACAATGCTGAGTTCATAAGTATAGTGTACCTAAACATTTAAAAATTTCCATTGTAAATATGCTGCAAATGAAGATGGTGTGCATAACACCTGCTCCATCGTAAGTCATGACAAGGTTCAGATGCAATTGAAAGTTAAAACGTACAATCACCAAGTTGTTCCTCCTTTCAGTTCGGTAGCATCAGACACTAAATATCAATTGTTAGCTTAATTTCAAACCAACACTCGTACTCTTGCTAAATTTCCATCATATGTAGGAATCTCCACATTCTTTAATATCAGTTTACATAAAGGAGGCCAGAAACAACCAACGGCAAAGATTCTAGTTAAAGTTTCCATTTTTCAATTAATAAAAATCTAAAAAATAAATCACAATAGCTTTTCGCCAAAGAAGAAGCAACCGAGTAAGGAACAAAGAACATTCTTACCTTTCGTGCGAGGCTCCTGTAGGCACTCTTGATCTCCTGGAGGGTAGAATTCCTTCTGAGGTTCAGCGTCCCGTAGTAGTCCGTCGCCTTAGCTTTAATCGGGGTGCATCTGCGGCGACGGCCGCTCGATCTCGAGACGAAGCACTGGGAGCCGACGAAGCGCAGTCTCCCGGGGAAGAAGCTGGAGGAAAAGGAGGCCAATTCCAGCGTCCAGCGCTTCGGACGCAGGGGAAAGAAGGGGAGGTGTCCCGGCGGAGCCAAGGGTTTAAAGGAGAAGGAACGGAGAGTCGCCATGGCCACGAAAGGACAAAGGTTCCAAATGGGAATGGGCGATATATACATATATACATATATATACATATGTATATATACATAAGTATATATATATATATATGTATATATATATACACATATATATATACATACATATGTGTATATATATACATACATACTATGTTCGAAATGACATATTTGTCCCTCGAAATATTTATATTACACAAGCATCTCTCTAAAAATTTTATCCCATCAAATATCCATATCTTTGTTATATGTCACTCTCATTAATACTGATCTAATAAACTCAAGTTAATTATTCATATATAATATTTATTAGGGTGAATTTTCCATTCAACTTCTCTTTTTAAACTTTTCCTAGAAAGTGTGGCTTATAAAATCTCATAACATAATATAAAAATATTATAATTAAACTCATTTACTTCTTTGCTCATATGAAAAGACACGAAAAGAATACTATAGTTATTAGGCAAAAAAAGAAAAAAGATATAGGAGAATGAGTACTTTTAAGAAATCTAATATTTAAAATTTTAAATATCTAAAATATATTTTATTATTTTCAAATATTTTAAAGGATAATAATGTTCATTTAACGACAATCAACACGAAATCAAAGAATATATACTCGTCCATACGACAAGATGAAAGAATATATATTCGTTTATATGACCAGACGAGAGTACAAACATGTTTAATATTTATGCAGTCGTTTTCTAAATCATGCTTAGGTGAATATGAGATGTATTACCATCACAGCATTTTACTGTAAAAAGTCTAAACAAAATTGTCAAAAAATTTCATGGCCTCTGCTCACATCAAGAAAGAAAACAATAGCACTTACCATCATTTGACAGCTGACTCAATTACAATGGCATACTAGTCTATGACTGGGAAATAAAAAGCTGTTCTCGTTACATGATTGCAAGTCACTATTATGCACAAATACACTACTACCAGTTATAAGATGGTTTTATTTACTCCACAACCTCGGCTACCATAAGAAGCAAGCAGTCGCCGTCAGATGTTCCATAACCAATATCATAGGCTTAGTCAAGATGATATTTCTTCATAGACCAGATTCCCATCCCTTCTAAAGGATTAAACACCTCGGCACTAAATCTTTCTGTTCCATCCTTTGATCGGCATTGCCTGGAATATTGTTTTACATGCCAGTTTAAATCCACCATATGGTGAAATATGAGATATTTTATCGAGTGCAAATTTTTGTAAACATACCTTCTGGAGGCTGGTTAAGTTTCCGGTTCTGTGGAGCCGACATTTCTTTTCTTAAGCTTCTTAAGATGTCCTCCATAGTGTATTCCCTCTGCCAGTTTGCAAGCATCGGAAATAGGCCAGGTTCAACCTGCACGTATGAAAAGAATAATGCTAAAAGGTTTTACTCATTCTTTATCATAATACAGTGGATGATGAACATGAAGTAAATACCACTCCAGTTTCCTGGTTGATGCATGTCATGTTTATCCGCGTCTGGAACCTAACGGTTGGGGGTTTATCAGGATAGTCTTCATCGCAAAACAGTTTCAGCTGATATATCCGCCCTTCATGAACAGTCTGCAAACAGAATGAGCAAAAAAAGAAGACTTCAACTGACTCAGTTTTCGGAGACATATATAAGCTAGTGACATCTGCAACATACATTGTGTGGACCAATAATTGTCCCTGTCCAGGAACGCATGTAAATATCATCAGCATCATCCATTCCATAGCTGACCGCACCATCACCAATACCCTTCTCTCCCCTCTCAAGCTCTTCCAACAATCTGAAGTTTCTTGGAACTGCAGGAAAAACAAGTGAAAAAAAGGTAATTTAACTTTGCATCAACATGTCACGTGTGAGAGGAAGAAAAAGAAGAAATAGCTCTGTTGTATATCAAACTTCAGTGCACCAGATCCATCTTAACCAATATAACTTGGCAGAAAGTTGAGGTAAGCAGAACAAAATTAAGCATGATGTCTTTATCCCTTAATAACAGAAAAATACCAAGGGAACGTCTCTGAATTTTGTTAACACGGCCACAACAGAGTAAAATATCAGGTTGGGAAAGCCTTCCGATATATCTGTGAGCATTTTCTTGGCTTATAAATGGCAAATAATCTCTCTCAATGGGTGGGAAATGATCATGAAACAAGACAACGATGACTAGTGATTTTAGAAAAGAAAGGTGTATCTACTAATTATATTGATGTTATTAAAGATATATATAATAATGTAACTATTAGTGCTAGAACTATAGGAAGTGTGCCTAGTGAGTTTCCTATTAGCATAGGATTACATTAAGGATCCGCATTAAGTCTCTACCTTTTCACATTAATACTGGATGAACTTACTAGTCATTTACATGATAATCCTCTCTGGTGTATGTTATTTACCAATGATATTATCTTAGTTGATAAGAGTCTAAGTAGAATTAATTATAAACTTGAGCCATTGAGACAATTCTTAGAAACTAAAGGTTTAAATTAAGTAGACTAAAGCTGAATATATATATAAGGTACAATTTTAGTAATTCTAGGAATAGATGGGAGAATATAGTTAAGTTGGATAAACAAAAAATTCCCTTAAATAAAAGTCTTAGGTATCTTGGATCAATTATTCAATAAGATGAAGAGATCAATGAAAATATTATTCATAAAGTCAAAACATGATGACTAAAATGACGAGGGCTGTTAGGAATCTTGTGTGATCATCAAATATCTTTGAGATTAAAAGAAAATTTTTACAAAACAGTTGTGAGACCAACAATGCTTTATGGATCTAAGTGTTGGGTAGTTAAAAAACAACATATATGAAAAGTTTGTGTTGCTAAGATGAGAATATTAAGATGAATGTGTGGAGTTATTAGAAAAGACAAGAAAAGAAATACATTTATTCGTAAACAACTAGTTATCGCTTCGATAGAGGATAAGATGAGAAAAAATCATCTAAGATGAAACAGACATATGCTCAGAAGACCTCCGGATGCGATAGTCAGAAGAAATGAAATGATTCATATTAGTGGTGCAAGGAGAAAGAGGAAGACCCAAAAAGACCTTAATAGAAACTATAAATAAATATTTAAATACACTAAATGGTGGCAAAAGATCCATATAATCGACCCTAAATTGTTGAGACCTATAACTTTGTTGTTGTTGTAGAATCTGAATTATCAAATTGAAACATATTATCATCAGCAAACATCCATATTTAGTTTGCAAAATTTGTTGAAGATATCGTAAGCTTCCTATGGTTTGCTAGATGTGCAGTTTGAGGATGCAAGGATATAAATCATTCCACATGCAATAGAATTTGGATGATTTTTGGACAATGTAGAAAAATCTAAAATAGATGTGACAATTCCTTAGACCACTATATCATAAAGAATGATGATTCACTAAAGCAACAAATAGCCAACATTGAGGGCAAGATCAATGAAACAACGGAAAATAAATGCATCCAAGTCGGACATAGGCGAGTTTAGTTTACTTGAAATGTTTATGTTGAATATTAGAAATCATAAGTAATGCTACAGCATGGATATGGATAGGTGTTTAACAAAACCAAACATACATAATGATGACAATAAGTTAAATTATATGCATAACAAGTCCATATTTTGTTATAAAGCAACTTTTAGTTGTCCATGTACAAGAGCATTGCACTGTCATATCAAAACTACCATCATCCATGAACCATTTTAATTGTAAGAATTTGAATAAGTAGTCACAATGGAAAAAGGAGATTGACATTTAAATAATCATTCGGGCCACTACCTAGCCACTCAAGCAGCACCTGATCCAAAGCACGAAGCAATCAGGAAGTGGGAACAACTCGAGTGCCCATGCAGCACCAAACAACCAACTCACAAGAAAGAATAAAACTCTGAAACCTCAACCATGGTCCCTCCTTTTCCCAGGACTAAGTACTGGAGGAGGAGTGAGAGGGTCTCCTCCTCTCTACTGCATGAAGTTAGTTTTTAACTAGGCTTAGAAGCTTAAGCCATAAGACAAATTAGTTTGATCAATCAAAGCTTCAAGGCATATGTTTGTAGACAGAGTAATTTCAATTGTGATTCTAGCCTAGCATTTAACAAGTTATTATGGTTAGTGAATTTTATATGCCTCACTGTTTAAGCATATCTGTATTTGACTTGCACTAGGTGTAACCAGTTTGATCTAAATAATTGTTAAGGGATGAACTAGATGTGAGAACTCAACCTATAAGTGATCATAGACTCCGGAAGGAGATACAAGTCACCACTCTTCCAACCAATTAACATATTTATAAATTCTCTTAACAGTATTCTCTGCTTTGTCTTGTCTTTGCTTCAGGAAACTTTCCAACTGATGTCCATATTTATTTTCTAAACTGCTACATTTGGGTTTACCAATCAAGCACTAATTGGGGCTCTATAAAATCTTGATATGGTCATTGTGGGAGAAAACATCGGCTAGTTCCAAAGGTAGTTGCATCCTGATTCCTGGGAATATATTACACAAGTTTAAACAAGAGAGATCAGGTTTGTTCTCAAGAAAAGTCACTAACACACTTCAAACACAAATTCAATAATAAAGGAGCACAAGCGGGCGTGTATGTGCGCCCACTAGTAGTTGATACTTTTAATTTTTTGGAATTTTTCAGTAGATGCACACCAAAGTGCTTGTTAATACTTGTTACACAACATAATGGGGGGTAAGCATAAAAAATCTTATATAGGTGCTTTGTTATAAGATTAATCTCATGCGATTTTCAAGTCCCTCATGTCATTCAAAGTGTTTAAACATGTTTCTCGTAAACAAAGAAAATGCAGACCCCTTTTGTCAACAATAGCAAGTATAAGAAAACATAAGAACCATAATGCAAACAGTTTTAATGTAACTGGCCAAAATACTTATCAATATGAAAGCAGCCTTATATAGGTCTAGGAAACAGATAAATCAAAAATTAGGAGAAGCTTCCTAAATTGCGTCGATAAGAACACATTCAAATCAGTCCAATCTTTGTTCAATTACTGCGCCATAAT